GCATAAGGAGCAATGACTGGAATGAGTCATATGCTACATTTCTGTGCACTGACAGTTTGTTGAGTCTGAACCATAATAATGCACTCTGCTGCTTCAGTTCCTCACAAGCTATAAGTTACAAATCTACACAAATAAAATTGCTGCTCATAGACAAGTTGTTCAGAAAGCAAGTATGAGATGCAATGGACAAATAAAAAGAAAGCAGTAAAAGTGATAGAAAGCTCCCTGTTGCCCTATCACATGTTTAGTATCCCTGCATATGTTCCTGAATGTGGTTTAGGTAAGCAAAGGTTCTCCAATAGGATTCAAAAATAAACACTAGGGACTCACTACTACTTACAGTTCAACTGCATTGCTCCATAACTTCCTGGAGAATGCAGAGTTTTAGAAAAATAGACATTCTTTCCTTCTGGTTGGATATATTTAAGTTATCTTTTGTAAGACCAGATAAAATGTTTCAGTTGTCAAAGAATAAGTGAATTACATAAGTAAAGTGTTACATAAAAAAGTATCAGTACAATTTATGTGAAGTGAATTTCACAAGAACCAGTCTATTGTACAAAATTCAACTTATCTTTTCCTGATCTTTTTATTCTATCTAAATACAGAAATTTATGTAAGTTCAAAAAAATCTGTTACTGTTTTTCATAACTGAATCCATTACTTTCTCTCCTTGAGCTATCAGGTAAAAACAAGTGCAATAGATAGCTCTTGCAGAACCTTGAACATAAAAGGCCTCAAGGATAAGTTAAACCCATCTCATTGTGCACTATAACTAGAAATTATAACCTTGAAGTTTTAAATTAAAACAAGTCATAGCAAAGACTTCTGACTATAATTGTTATCTTTCATATAAACAAAATAATTATAAAATGGAATTTGACTTAAAGGTACAGTTTTGCTTGTTGCATTGCCTGTAAGCAAATTGAACTCTGTGAAGGTTTATCACCCTTTGCTGCTTTCTGTCTTGTCTTTCTCCATAATGGATCCATTTGACTACAAAAGTTTGGAGAGAAAGAGCTGAAAACAAATGAATAATTTTCCACATTACTCTTTATTTCCAGAGATTTGCCGATTCCATTGCATTGGTAATTTTTCTCTTCTTTGTTCCCCTACCAGCCCAGGGAAAAAGAGGTCCAAAATTAGAGCTTATATTAGAGTGGCAGCATTTCACTGGTATAACAGCAGGACGGGCAAAATAAGGGAGCAAGTGCAATGCGTGGATTTAAGCCAGAACGAGGAACCACTGGATGTCACAGCAGCAACAGCTGGCTTGGCCTCAGCTGGATTGCTGATAGTGGCAAAGGGGATCTACCAGACTTTCTCAGAGCAACTCACTGCAGGAGAAAAATGAACATCCTAGCCCCAGAAGGTACCAGCCTTCCTGCCTTTCCTTGTTTTCCACTTCTGCTAAGAAAAGAGGATGCACTGGTCTCAGGACACACACCATTGGGGTGGAAATAGTGTTCAGGTATGGAAGACAAAGACTAACTGCACCTCTTCATCTACAGTACATCGTCTTGGTGAGGTTAAACACACACAGACCCCCTCAAAGATGAACACAAAATAAACTGATTTCTTTGATGCAGTGCCTGTAATGGGACACACCAAGGTGAAACTTCCTCTTGCTTTCAGCCAGCACTGATGCTTGCCTCTCACCCTGGGCCAGCACACACTAGAGGCAGTTGGAAGATCCAAACTCCGTTCAGCAGCTGTGGCTGCGCAAACACGGAAAGAGAGAGCACAAAAGGTAAAACGTCAGGATGCAGCAGCAGGGGAACAAGCCTGCCAGCATCAGCCCAGAGTGCCAGGCCATATCACCTGGAAGCTGTCACATGGGCTTGCTGCTCCTCACACAGCTCACCAGGGTGCACCGCACTTGCAGCTTCTGCTCCTTTCAGCTAAAGGTGGTTCATGAGACCACACTTGGTAAAGGGAGCTGCAAACAGCCAATTTCAATTTACAGTATGTGGGTTATTACACCCCCCCCTCAAGAGAGTCTCATCTCTCCTGGGTATCCTTACAGTGGCAAACAGAAATAAGCCTGCCAGAGGTGTTTCAGAGGAGAAATGCAATTCTGGTGCACTGACTCACCATCTCAAGGACTCTCTCTCTCCTTTGACTACAGGAGAAATTATATAGACACTATAGAGACAAAGTATTCAACTCAGCTGGATAAGCAGGCTTTCTATTCCCTACAGGTTGGTTTAGGAAGATATTTATTATACAGATGTGCTTTCTTGAGAATTGTTGGTGTCACTTTAGTGGAGTCCCACAAGAGACTGCTGACTTCCACCTTAGGGCAGAGCCCAGCACAGAGCAGCTTGGACCAGTTGGTATAATCTGGAATACTGAAAACTGCTATTTCCCTGCTGTCTTTTTTTTTTTTTTTTCCTGGCAACTTACCTTCTGCGAACTGCACAAATCTGTACTTTGGAAGATTATATTTATTTTATCAACAGGTTTTTTTAGCTGGGAAAAACCTAACTTTTATTTGCAACATTCTTAATGTTTTAAGTCTAAAAATTGTTTTAGAAATAGTGCTTGAACATCAAGATTGCCAGTTTGACTCAGAGGTCTTTCCAAATAACAGCATTCCTATTCTTATGACATAAACCTACACTTTGGGATTTGCTAATCTCAGATTGTGGCAGTGTTAAGCACAGTTCTCAGCCAGATGAGAGATGCATGGACTGATGAAGGTTTGATAATCATAAATAACACCTTGTTGGGGCTTTGAGCCAGTAGCTAGCATGAGTCTCAAAACTAACATGGCAGAGGACAGCAGGAGTCTTTGCCTGGGAGTTTCACAGTTCCTTCCATGCCAGTTCTTATCAGGATGGGTTTGGCAAAGCCATTTAACTGTTTCTGCTTTCGGAGTGTATGATTACTTTCCAAAATCACAAGGATGCTACGACAGTTAATTAATTATCACTGTATTTTGCTTTAAAAATATAATTCAGATGGAAAGAGGGTTAGTAGGGAGAAACACTGCAAAGAAAATGAAGGTGTACAGAGACAGAATGCTCAAAAGACTGTAAGTGTAGTAGGATAGAAAGAGGAGGAAAACAATAAATAAGGAAAGGAGGTTTGAATACCGAGTACATAAAAGATGTGTGTGAAAGAAAATGTGATGTTTTCCAAAAGTAGAGGAGAGGAAAAGGAAATTACAAATTAGAAGCAGGGCTGAGATGAATGGATATGAAGTATAAAGAGAAGAAAAGAAAAAAGATGTAATAAAAGTTGAGACTTTAAAGTAATGAAAATTTTTGTTTATTTATACCCTTTTTTAATATTAGAGGAAAATGGTAGCATACTTATAGTGAGCTCACACCATGTTAACACAGTACAGCTCTTAATTCCTGGATTATGTTGTTAAATAATTAACTGATGAATAACAAGTAAATAATTAAAATTTGGTTCTCTAAGCTTCACAATTGAGAACATAAAACTGTCACAGTGACATCAAATTTTAGAAGAACTGATGCTCCAGCTAATTAGAAAAAGTGAAATCTAAAATCTGTATCTGTAAAGACAGCTAGCAGAAACACCTGGGCTCCTTTCCCCCACAAAACAAAATAAAATGGATCATCTATTATTTAAATCTCCCATATTAAAGTTACGTCTGGAGAGGATGGAAATATGGATTGCTAGTTCCTCTGCAAAATACCTAGACAGGCCCTGAGCCTTTCCTGTCAGAAAGGGTCTGTGATTTGAGCAGCACGATAGGAAAGGGTGTCGCTCTAAAAGGCTAAGACAGTCCTGAGTTCATGCTAAAATATATTTTCATCCAATATCCCTAAAATGAAGAACTGTAAACCAAACCCTTATACTTCAATGGACAATAACTCAGTGGTTCCATGGCACTGTTTAACAACATTAAGAACAAAGAGCTTCAAAAATCTAATAATAAATCTGTTTATTCATGAAAAAGAAGAACAGTAGACAAACTAAAAAAGATCACTCATTCTACCCGCAAACAAAATAATTCCTTTTCTCCCATGGACATCTGTTCTATTTTCTGATACAGCAAAAGCACACGTACTTCAGGTCTAAGCAAGGCAATTAATCTGGATTCTGCCACCATCACAGTCATGGGATTATGATTACTTTTTTTTTTACAATGAGAGGACTTTGAAAGCACAGATCCTGCTGTGCAGAGCCATCACAATCCTTCATGAGAGCAACCTGGTACGAATGAAAAATCTAAGGAACAGCATATAATTATTCCAATAAAGAAATTACAAAATGCTACTATGGCTATTGAGCAACAGTCACTTCGTTTGTTTATCCTTGCAATCTGTTATTTAAAAAATAAATAGAAGACATTTTATGCTTTAGAAGCCTCCACCCTTCCAGCTTCCTGATGCTTACCCTTGCAAAACACTTGCCAGCAGCAAAAATTTAAGTGTCTGGATAATAGCACAGGGGTGAAAATGTACCAGAATTCCTCAGCACCCCCTAATAACCTCCACGTTGTCTGAGGTTAGGCTGATTTCACAGCACCCCCTTCAGCCACTTTGCACAGTGCCTGTCCCTCAACCCCTGCCTGGGGGTTCATTTCACCACAGCCTGGATGTGGGCATAAGAGGAGGAGTTGGTCTCAAAGAAGCCCTCCAGCTGCCCGCAGAGGGCCTCGAAGGTGGGTCGCCCGCTCGCCTCCGCGCTCCAGCACTCCAGCATCAGCTGGTAGAGTGGCACCGGGCAGGTCTCCGGCTGAGGAAGTCTGTAGCCCTTGTCCAGCATCTGGATCACCTGGTGTCCTGGCATACCTGCAGGCCAAAGGGAGTTTGTCAGACTATGGCCTCTATCTCCTACTGATACGAGGCCATGGGATGCCCCCCGTGAGGCACATGTGTGCACTGAGGGCAGAGCCGCCCCAGCAGGCCTCCTTCAATGGCAAGGGGACACAGGAGTCACTGGAGGATCCCAAACCAGCAGTTAAAGACCACCTCCAACATTTCCCAGCCCCCTCGCCCCGACTGCGCCACCTGAGAGGCACAGCAAATGGGTTTGTCTGGGTGTGAGGCTTTTCTCTGCCACCTGGGTTTGCCAAATTTTTTACTGACGTCTGTTTTACTTAAATTGTTCCTAAATCCCTCTAGTCTCAGTGACTCCAAAATCTCTCAAGAAAATCTGTCCTGCTGCTGAATTTTCCTCATATTTATAAAGTTTTCTGTCACATCAGCCCAAAGTTTCCTCCGATGCAACTATACATCCTGCCTATAGTCTATATAAGAAAGAGCTGAGGATTTTTTGCTTTGGTTCTCTTTTTTTTTTTTTTTCCAGAATGGTTTCACAGGAGGTGAGAGTGGGAATCAAAAAGCAAAATCAATTTTTCCTTTTATAGGAAATACCCATTTGGGACCTTGTGATATATAGTTTAAGGCAAATGCACCACCCCTCAGGCCTGTACAGATGCCGCATAACTTTTTTGTGCTTTAGTCCTTCCCTTTTGTTCTCCTCACCAGCACAAAATGAGTCACAGTCAATCATCTCACTGATATCTTGTGTTATTGGAACACAGTTCTTTGACTATTTCTCACAGTCCTAGGAATAATAGCAGCTCTTGTACCACTAAATCTGCTTTTGCAGTTGGTGACATTTTATTCCTAATTCTTTATGAAGACTTTCCACTACAATAGTCAAATATGAGGAAAGGGGGTAAAAATCATGACTCATTATTCAGATACCTTCTTACTGAAGTGCTTGTGCAGCACTTCACACATAATAATCTGCTCTTCCATAAAATATTCTCAGAAAAAACCCTCCCACCAAAAAAATCAACCAAACAGAAAAATAATCCAGGTCAGGATATGGGACAGGAAAACCTTCCCTTTTTCCACACTCCAAGAATTGGCATCTTCGACCTAACACTAGAGGGAAATAGCCATTTGGCTTAGGTGTCTTTGCAATGCAGGTTGATTCCAGAGAGGAGGCTTGAATGGCTGCTCACCACAGCCTTTGGAAAGCTTCCTGGGAGCCTGGGGCAGCCAGAAGGTCTGACGCACTAAATGGACCTCATCTGAACAGCCTTCTTGCTATATTTACAGTTTTAACCCTTTAACATTCCCATAGTAGAAGCATTCAACTTTTTTGTGTTGTTCTTAAAGCAAGAAAGCATTAGACATCATTCTTTATGTAAAAGCACCTACCAGCATAAGGCATCTTCCCATAAGTGATTATTTCAAACAGAAGTATCCCAAAGGACCAGACATCTGACTTAATGCTGAATTTGTTGTAGCGGATTGCCTCCGGGGCTGTCCATTTCACTGGGAGTTTTGTTTCTGGCCTAGCTTCATATATGTTTTCATTTTCTACCTGTCATGGGTAAAACAAAGCAAGTCCGACTTCAGATCTGCTTCAGCAAAGCACTTAAGTACCTGACTAAACTAAGAACATGCTTAATCTTATCCTCTTTAGCCATGCACTTGCATTTCATGGTATTAAAGCATGTACTTTATGAAGTCTATTGTTAAATTGGGCTTCACAGTTGAGAAATGCTACCATTCATCGGAGGCATTGCTAAAGCATTTATCATTTCAAGTGAGCACACAGCATTGGAGTAACTCGTGATTAATTATGACCTGCTACTGTGAATTCTGGACCTGGCACACAAGATTTCAGAAGTCTGTCAGGAGTGGCAGTGTAAGCATCGTGCTGACACTTGAAACCAAACAGTTCCACGTCTGGTCTTCAGTAAACAGAGGAGGCAAGAGCAAGAGCTAATGAATTTTGGAACCTTTCGTCCATGATTTATTGCAGTGTTGAAGGGCCATTGACCTTAATAACAATCACTTAAGCAGGTTTCAGGGACCAGAGAACAAACTCCAAATAATTCAAATTAACATATTAGCTTACAATGGATCCAATTAATTAGTGTAAAGTGAAGACAAAAGACACATAGAAAAAGAAAAAATATGTACTTGCAAATTTGTAGAATCATTTTCTTAAAAGTTACACAGCACAGACCTAAACTTTGTGAACATTTATTCTCTAATTCCTGAATGTGATTTGGTATACATCAGTCACATGCAAGCCTTGGTTTGGTTTTTCATATGCAAATCCAGGCAAATGTGTACAAAATTTTGTTTGTTTGATTGCTTTTAATACAGAATGTACATTTCCCAACTGTAATGCCCTGTAGTTTTGAAAAGATTGGTTGTTCGTGTTTTGTATCTACATACAGATGCAGTTGGCATCTTGACCATAATACTCACCTTTAGAAGCAAGAAATTATTTCATTATGCTAACTAATGCATACAGAAATACAGATTTAATTTCTCACACCTACACCTTTGGGATCTTTGCATGTGACCATGTTAGTGCTCTGGCTTAGGAGACAGAATATTCCTAATAAAGTCTGCCAAGATGACTCCATGACAGAGTATTTTAGTAAAGTTCACTTTTAACAAGAAATGTCAACATCTGTAAATTATTACCCTCTCTATGAGGACAGAGGAGAAATACCCACTGTAAGCATTGTTCATTTAAAAATACATATTCTTCATATTAAAAAATGTGCAATCTGAACTTATGCATAACTAGGAGAATCAAAATTAAGCAAAAAGCCGTTTCAGAGTCCCTTGATGCCATTGCAAAGCCATTATTCTCTACTTCAGTGCGTAATAAATCAAATTCTGTTATGAACTTCAATTTCTGCTGCTTGAGTGGAAAAAAACCAAACAATAAGCACAGGACTTTTTTCTGTTTTTCCTTCTCAGTGCGAGAACATAAATCAATAAAAACAATAATAAGATCTCAGAAATCATGGATTATATATTGAAATCCATAAAATATGGCAAATAAAATCTTTCAACTCTGATCAAATAATTTGCAGAGGTAGGAGAGCTCGTTTCTAAACCACAGCTCTTTCCTAGGATGATCTTGGTCAGCATTACTTGGCACTCCATGTCCTCAAGGGGTAGAGGAAAAAAAAAAACAGCACAGTGGCAAAGGACTTGAAACTGAGTCAGATTTAAAGCTCTGGGAGCTCACTTTATGAACTCTGCTGTTAGTCACAGAGAGGAATAAGGTCTGTTTATGATTACTACCTGCACTCGCAAGCACCGTGGAGGCAGTGGGGAAGTGAAAAAGGAGAGTGTAGCTCTCAATACATTTTTATACACCTTCCCTTACAGGTTCAGGAATATAATTTTGCCATCTTTCCTGTGATCTCTCTCCATGTGGCAGACACTAGTGTTGTTGGTAAAGGTTATGTAGCACAGGTTATTGCTTGCCAGGCTCCTTGCTTGGTGGCTGAGTGGGAAGCAACACTGGGATGCCACCTTCAGGCTGACACAAAGGCAATGGCCAGCTTCTAATCTTCCATGGGATAATGCAGGTAGAAAGTACAAGTGAACATGTTGGGGGTCCTTTTCTCCCTGGGCATGCCTTTTGCCTGAACCCACTAATTCAAAGGCTACAGTTTGCCTTTTAGTTGGCCTCTTCCACCTTGTTCCCCAGAGTTAAAGTAGAGACAAATCACCCTCCCACAACTCACCTTAAAAACTCTTGCAAGTCCGAAGTCTGCCACTTTGTAAACACTGTGCTCACCGACAAGAACATTTCTGGCTGCCAGATCACGATGGATATAGTTCTGAGATTCGAGGTAAGCCATTCCAGAAGCCACCTGAGCAGCCATGTCTACTTGCTGTGGCAGGAAGATTTGAGAGCCTGCATCTTCTGTTTAAAAAGAAGATTATAAGGATAACATAATATTTACAGTATTCAGATATAAATAACCTAACAGCCAACTGGTTCAAATAGCAAACACAAATCAACAAAACCATGCAATACAATAAGGTAACAGCCCGACCAAATGACAGAGGTTAGTGAATTCCCATTTTCTCTCATTTTTAACTCCCATTTTTACTTTCCAGTCTGACTACTTCATGCTGTTATCTCTGTTGCTGCTACTTAACAGTAGGACTTCTTGAGCTGCTTTCAAGCTGCCTGCTTCTCTAGTAGAACTTTCCAAAGCAACGTGCATGCCATACCCACCACTCTAAAATCATCAAGTCCCAGATAGAGTGATTTGGTAATCAAAGATTGGCTGTTCAAATAAAGCAGCAGAAGAACTTTGAGCAGAGCACCTTGCCTTCACAGATGAAGGAAAGAGCCTCAGGCCATGAAAAACTGCAGCCAAAAAGTGTAAGACAGGTGCTCATGAAAACATCACTGGGATATAACACATGAGAATACAAATTCAGGGACTTTATGGCACTTTGGGGGCAGCTGACATCCTCATAGCAAAGAATTTATACCCCAAGGAAATCTAGACAAGACATGCAGCACTGAAGCTTCCTCTGTAGCCTCTAAAACCCAAAAGAGTTTCAGCTTCCTGCTTCAGACTCTTAACAATATCAAAAAGCTGAGTGTTTGCTGCTAGGTCTATTGGCAGTTCTCCTTTCTCATTAGGATGGTGAGTTTTCCTTACTGTCTCTGTATTTAAAAAATAAAACATTTGTAGCTAGCAGTTTTCTGTTTGTTATTTTGAATTGATTCTCAGTGAAAGTGTGTTTTCGTTTTGCATAGCCTCCTCCAGTTTCAGCATTTTATCTGACCTAACCTTGCAATCTCCCCTTATGAAGAGTGTGAACATCCATTGTTTATTAATCTGCAATCTCCAGGCCTTGTATTTCCTGCTCATCTGGATGTTCTGAGATGAATAGGTAAAATAAATGAATTTTAAATTATTAAATTTGCCCTGCATGTGTATTGTCCTACCTCCTTTTTGAGGCTAAAGTAATTGTCATGATAATTCAGTACTAAGATTATTTACTTCTATTGTTGACTCAGAAAGTCTTTTCCTCTCCCACACATCTGTTTAATAGTTGCCTTGACCTTTAGAAAAGAGGGAGAGAAATCAGGCTACATGAAAATCTACAGATTAACCATAAAGAAAACCCATCATCAGGCCACAGAATAGCATAACACTGAATTTCTGCAGTTCTGCCAACTGCTAGATATCAACATTTATTATTTAACTTGCTGGACAAAGATATAAATCTGCAAATGACATTTATGTTCTATTGAATCAGAAAACAACTAACTATGTACAAGTGCCTTGCATGAGTACCGAGGGTTTGGAACCTAACCTATGTGACTCAGTTTAAAATCCCTCTCTCCATGTTCCCTTTCGCATTGCTCTTTCTGCACATGCTGTGAACTACCTCCTGGTGAAAGCAGACAAGGAAGCAGACAGATTTGAGCACAGGTTTGTCATTGCTCTGCTGATGGTCCAGGCTAGCTTGACACAAGCTTATTCCAAGAGGCAGAACATGACAAAGTCACAGGAAAAGAAGATGACACATAAGCCTTGTGTTTAATGAGATGCTTCAGCGCAGAACAGGAGGTAGAGCTGCTAAACCTTCCCTGTCTTAATCCCTGCAGGACACACAGGTTCACCATGGTAAAGGACAAGGATGAGATCCACCAGTAGTGGTGGAGTTACAGCTGAAAGACTGTTTCTTCCACTGGGACCTGTTTGGTAACCCAGACCAGGGTAACCTGCTGTCTTTAGCATATGGCCTAAAGGAGATTAAGAGGCCATCATTGCCCTGGCAGCTGCCGCATTTCTTGGAGGATTTCTCAGTGTGAATTGATTCTGTGCTGCTGCTGCTTTGCTGAAGAAGGGAAAGCTGTAAAGAGGATCCTTAGCTGATCAGGAGCTGCAAACTGCACAAAGACAGAAGATGAAAGCACAGTCCTCTTTGGGATCTGAAGTGCAAATCATGTATGGTTGTCTCATAAAGACTTCTGACTACACCTCCAAAATCCCAGCTTGGGCCAGCCAAAGCATGTAAATTCAAGCACAGCACTGCATCACTACAACTATGGATGAAGGTTTCCAGACCAGAGCCAGCTCCCATCCAGCTGCTTCAAAGCAGGTCAGAAAAGTTTACAACTGTATTCATATGGGTAAACATCTGCTTTAGTTTCTTTTAAAGTGTTATAAAGGAGGAAAAAAAATGAAGTTAATATAACTTCCACACTAGGCGCTACTAGTGAATTTATAAAACCTTCCCATGGCTTATTCTTTATCCAATAAAGAAAATGTAACACCTCCATGTCCTTTTTTAACTAATATTTTTTGACAAAACTATCACCCTTATATGAAAAATTTATTAGAGAAAATATTAAAGAAGGCTTAAGGTCTGCACCCTGTTCTAAGCAATAAATCACAGTGTATCACATAGGAAAGACGGGAAAATATTTTCATTGACAGAGACCTGAAAATAAATAAATAAATAAATAAGCAGCACTTTCTACAGTTGAGACCATTGCCTCCATAATAATCCACCAAACTTGAAGACTGTGCCCCTGCCAGAACAAGCCCCAGATACTTCAGAATTAATAAAAACACTCATACATTTATGACGATTTCATTCACATCCAATAACAAAGAAAAGTTTTCAGTTCCATTTCTCTCATACTGGTGGCAGCTCAATAACTCTGAATAGCAGTATTCTTCAAGAAGTATGCCAAAGTACTTTCACAGGGTGCACAGGGAATTCACGTGCCCATCATTTTTAAGTAGCTGTAATTATATTGGAATGTCATAGTCACTCTGAGTTAAATATTAGGGATTTTTAAAGCTAGAAAAACATGCCATGCATTTCTGGGAGATGAAACTTAACCAAAAAATGTTCTCTGGACTTTCCCCCTGTCCCAGTTTGCCATATTTATCCACAGTGCATACAGAGACAGCAGCTTTCTGGAAACATTTTCCTGGTTCCTGCAGTGGCCGAGTCTCAAGAAATCTACTCAGGAGCTGTGGACTGACTGCCAGCTAGTACAGCTCACTTCCAGTCACAGAGCTCTACACAAGCTTCAGATCTCTTTCCTTACTACCCTCAGTGGTGGCAATGACTTTTCTTTGAACAATACCTATCAAAGCACTTGAATCTCTGCCTCCACCTCTTACTTCTGTTTATCCTTTTGAGCCCGGGCCATCAGACAGGGAGAGATACCAGTAGGCTGGGTTTCAACTGGCCTTTTTTACCGTTATCTTGGCAGCTGCCTGGAAACCAACCAACCTTCCATGGCGTCTCTGACACAGGGCTACAGGAATGAGCTCTGAGGCAAAGGTCAGGCTGCATAAACGTGCATGCTGTGCACACGCTGCCAACTGATCTACACACAGGCTGCAGCACTGACATGTTCTGGACATGTTGTACTCCATTTACAAAGAGGCAATTTTTCCCCTCTACAATAGCTGTGGCTCATCCTGGCTTTCTCAGAGATACTTCTCCAGTACAATAAATGTTTTCAAGCACGGCAATCGTTTCCTAATATGCCAGGCTCTTTCAATCAGATAAGTGGCAATCTGCACACAAAGACAAAGATCTGCACACCAGAGATGAGAATTTAAAGAAAATTTAGGCCTTGTTACCTTTGGCCACTAAATGGCTACAAAACTGTAATCTGGCCCAAGACCACTGCAGCCTCATTCCATGCAGTTCCTGGTGGAGCTGTGCCTCTACTTGATATTTCTTTAGCTGTAATTGTCTCTGGACTGAGCCTCACTTAAAAAAAAGTTTCCACAGAGAAGATTGGGGAAAGAACATGTCATGGTAAATACTGTCTGTGGTATTTCACAGGGCTTTGCCACATGGGCTGGAGACAGAGAAGAAATTGAGCAAGGCAATCACAGTGAACATTTTGTCTTCAAGAGGTCATTACAGCTTTAGAGACATTTAGCATCTCAGAGACCTCTGCTAAACTGAAAGTGGGTAACAACACTAGAATCGAGCATTTCTCAGTGGCAGGGGTGAACTTAAAGTGCAATCATTATGCTAGTCTGTTCCAGGCTGTACAGCTTTATTTTTAATTATTATTTGCCTTCAAAAGAGCACTTTGAAGTGCTGAGATAAAAGCCCTGATGCGATAGGCAAGGGACAAATTCACAGTCAAAGGCTATCCCTGCCTAGTAATAGATTTTCAAAGCTGTTAAGTACATTTTGTGGAAGTGCCTCTATTTCATGTCAAATATGATGACCTATCCTTCTAGATGCTTATATTTTTATTCTGCCGGTGTATGCTTCCATCTACTCATAGAACTGAGTGTAAAAATGGGGTCATTATAAGGCAAGATCAAACTGTGAATGTGATTCTCTCCTACTTCTCATATACTTTGGCAAGTCAAAAATTCATAAACATCTTTCTTTCCCTTTTTCTCATCCCCACATGCGAAAAATAATGTAGCTTTTATATTAAACCAGAGTGCTGTACTTCTATCTTTTATGTTAGTCTATTTACTAAACTGACAGCTGTGGTACCCCTTGAAATGAGTTTATAGTAATTTGCTTACTTTGAAGGTATTCTAGAAGACTTCCATATCGCATCAGCTCAGTAATAATATAAATTGGGTCCTCCAAAGTACAGACAGCGTAAAGCTGTATAAGCTTTGGGTGTCTCAAGTTCTTCATTATTTGTGCTTCCCTCAGAAAGTCCTTTGGATCCATTGAACCTGAAAAAACAGCACATAACAAAACATAAGTTGAGGTTATTAAAGGCCTTCCTACCAGCCTGGAAGTCTTAAGGGAATATCTGAGATAGTTTTCTATCTTTCAAAGTACATCAGCATCTCAAATCTTCACAGTTCCCACAGAAAACAGTGCAGCTGAAATAAACACTTAATAAGTAAAGTATGCCAGTTGCACAGGGACAGAGAACATATATCTTCCAGCTACCAGAAACATAAAGGCTGAAATTAACCATCCCTAGGCCTCGACTAAGCAGAAAAAGGGACAATAGCACGTTAACTGATATAATTTAAGCAAATAATAATGTTACAACTGGTTAATGAAATTACCAGAAACTGAGGTAAGAGTGCGTGGGTGACGAACATAAAATCTCTGACAGAAAACGGATGTTACAATAAGAATTTGTTGCACTACATTTTCAGCTTTAGCAATCAAAGCCTGGAAGCAGTTAAAACACTTCAGCATATAAGGAGTAGATGTGTGCATCTTACATACATAAATACAAATAACTATATATGATGTTCACATAACAGCAGTCCTAGTAGAAATACCAATGTATGCACAGATGCAGCAGTAATTTTACATTCCCTTAAATACAGAAGCATTTTAACAGCTCATGATCCCAACTTTTTTAAGTGTTACATAGGTCATAATATCTCTAGTTCTATTCATATATACAGTCAGCTAATACATAAATTATGTCAAAGAAACAACACATAAATCATACAGGGAGCTACCTTCAGTGGCAAATTTAGGATTAAAGCTCCTATGCCCTGAATAGGGGCTTGATTAGAAAAAAATATGTATAAATGAAGAAGCAAAGCTTTTTCCATGAATGATCGACTAGTGATCAGATACTCTCAGATGTTTGGGAAAGATGAGAAATAACAACTCCGCCTTAACACTTGTACAAACAAATAAGAAATCCTCCAACTGCTCAAATGTTTCCTTCCTCCCAAATCAAAGTAGTTTCATTAAGAAACGTTTATAGTGAAGGTTGGGGGCGAGGGGGGTGGGGGAATCTACCCAACTCTAGTCTGCTCTATGCAATGTTTAAAAAGTCTTTTCTTAGAGTAAGCAGACTGAGTAATTTGAGAAGCCAAGGCTGCAAGAGTTGAAAGCTGCAGTTGCAAGGCTACAACCTCCTCAAAAGTTGTCCAACCTATTTTCAGAACCATAGCAATAATGTGCAATTTCATATCCTTGCATCAATGCAAGAGGGATGACTCAGAAATGCTTCTCACATAGACTTTATGAAAAAAGAGCCACTTGACATTGCAACTTGGGAGAGCAGATTATTGCTCCTCTCCCCTGTGTGTTCATAGTTTCCTTGGCAATCCCAAGGGGTCAAATTTGACAATACTTTATAGGATGCCATTAGGGGGTACGGTGAAAGTTAATGGATTTCTGTGCCATCAATAAATGGATAGCAGCCAATAATACATCTTCTCAACAGGTACAGGCTATACCCATTTCCTTCTGTAACTGTCAGAGGAAAATGGGGACCTGCATGAAAAGTAAAAGACTCATACTTGGTCTGGATAAAGCAGAGATGATGACAGTCAGATGGAAAAAAAAAAACAAATATCTGAAATGGTAACAGTACTCCTTTTCCTGTTTAGAGCAGCACAATCTTTATGGCTTTATTTGAACTTTCCACCAATCCTAGATTTAAAAAAAAAAAAACAAAAAAAAAAAAAAAAAAAAAAAAAAAAAAAAAAAAAAAAAAAAAAAAAAAAAAAAAAAAAAAAAAAACAAAAAAAAACAAAAAGAAAACCACAAAAAACTAGGGTTGTCTTTATAGAGTTTGGACTCGCTTTGATACTGATTTAATATTGTGGTCCATTTGCTTACTCTTTTCAAGATATATGCATTTGTCATGCAAATCATCCTAAAGTCTACAGAGAAGCTGCATGGTGTGAAGTACGAAGTATTTGCTAATTTGGGGTCTACCAAGTCACCAGCCCTCTGTGGATCATTAGACAGGATTTCTTCACACTATAGAAAGTGCCAATCTGATCTACTCCCATCATCAAAGTTTGCCTACAAGGAATCTCTCAGTTTACTCATGCTACAAACTTCTTCCAACACTCCGAAACCAAGCAACGTGTTCTTCGCATATGACAACTCCCAATAAATTGGTCAGGAGGGATGTATTCTATTAACTGAATAGCAGCAAATCTTTCCACTGTTAAAGTAATTAATAATAATAAACCAGTCACAAAGATCAGTAAGTATTTCCTGCTTATTTTAAAGAGCATATGTAACCTTCAGTTTTACTTAGTTTATCTTTAAATAGCACAAGTAGGAGAGAGTACCCAAAACTCCACAAAGCCCTGTGGATCTTATATTGTAGTTAATAAGTGGATTGGATGCTAACTTAGAAATTAAGAAGTGTTTTTATCAGTCTTTTGTCATTTTAGCAACCAGATAAGCAAAGTAAAAGCTGCTTCTAAAGCCAAGTGAACATGCTTGTTACAAATTATATAGATAAAGCCTGGAACAATGGTGGAAAAGAAGTTACATTTCTTTGAGGAAGTTTATATAAATGAGATATATAAAATATATGCCACATGAAGTTTCAAATATCAAATTTTTTTGTTTGTAGTTGAAATACAAGTGATTTTTAATGAAGTATGTGTTTTCAGCTGTAACTGGTAAATACAGTAATCTGCTCTCAATGCTGCAAGTAGAAATTACTTGATCAAAACCCAGCTAGTTAACAGAAGCCTGTACTGAAACAAGTATCCCTTGTGTAAGACACCAGTGTGAGAGTAGGTTGATCACGACCTGAAGAATATATGGTTTTGATAACTTGTTCTTGGAATGAAAAATGTTTCTACAAATGTCAAAGTCCTTGAGAACAAAATGTTGGAATAAGTTTCTTGGACGTGTTGTATGATGTGGTGCTTTGCCAGAAATGACATCTAATTTAAGCCTACTTAAATCAGGTGTATCAATTCTGATTACTTTCTTTCTGAAAATACTTTGTTCTAGAATAGAGGAAGCTTCACATTATAAGACGAACACTAATAATTTGGAAATTATTAGTTACTAGTTATTTTCCAGTTTCCACTGGCCTGAATGTAAGTTGCCCTTAACTATTTGATAAGCCCCACCAGAGACCCTTTGCAACTTCCAATAAACCTCACCAAATGACTTCAAAGTAACCTTGGACTTCAGGGCAACCTTGTATTCTGAATAATTTTATACAAAATGAACTCAGGTACTGAATACATTGATCATATGCTGTGATCTTCTGAATAAGTTTAAGTGCAATAAAGCAATAACATTAAAAAGAAAAAGGGTTTTTTTGTAACAGAAGAGGCTGAGTGTAAACTACTCACATTAACAGGAAAACGAGAACAGTATCTGACAATTGTCAAGCAGCTTTCTCACCATGCAGAGATGAATTTACAAGTTACTTTAAGGTTATGTACTGAACTAAAAGGAATAAAAGAATTTCTTTCTTTAGGAAAACAGGGAGAGTTTCCTGAGTGCAAAGCTTTTCACGCTGCATATGCACTAAAGTGATGACATACTGAAGAACTGAAAATATTATTAAAACCTCTACTGACCATAGCAATGTAGAGACTATTTTGAGAAAGCCTCCTGAAAAAAAATAAAAATTAAAAAAACAAAAAACAAAACCAAAACAAAACAAAACAAAACAAAAGAAAAAACATGCTTGGGCAGCTTCCATGCAAAGAGAAGCTTGGGAGATGCTTTACAATATGTTAATGACAAATGCATCTGTCAACTTGAACAGGCATAAGGAACTTCCTCAGATATGATTAACTGGTGATGATAGATGTCTGCTTTACATGCTGGCAGTTGGAGAAGCAAGCTAGTCCAGACAATAGGTTTCAGAGAATCCATCACACTCAGCACAAGACAAAGTGCAAATCCCTGCTGCAGTAATCTCCACTTAAAATAGGAAAAAGACAACGTCACAGTGAGGAAATAAAAACAGAAACATGAAATTATATGTTCAGGACCTACAGCAAGACAGTACTATGGAGAGCCCAAAGCAGAAATAGCCATTGCTGGCTTCTAGATGATTTTCCTATCTGCTGATTCCTACACCTCTTTGATGACTGTGGGTCAACAACTCAAAAGTCAGGGGTGTTCCTTAAGGCAAAGGCTTTATTCTGTTTTGTTTTTTCATTCACACATCCATCACTACATTTTTGGCTGGTAAAATGTCACAGTTGTCTCCAAAACAGAGTGAAACACCAGTGAACAAATAAGAGAATTATCTGAATAAGGGCATCACACTACTACTGCTTATTGTTTATGGTCATAGTGATTAACTGATTGTAATAAGGGCAAGTAGTGGACAAAATATGGACTGAACAATGGTACCAAAGAGCAGAATGATGGTGGAGAATTTGAGTTGTAATTGTGGTGAAGGAATGAGGATGGATTGAGTGTAAATTGTCCAGTTTTATTTGGTGTTGTGAAGAAGTTATTTTGATTTTGGTGTGGGGAATACTTTTTCTTGATGTGAATGAAATGTCTGATATTTGTGTGATGAACATGGATTTTAATGGCAATTCTTAAATATGTGACTCACAGAGGTGACGGGTGGAAAGTATTAGATTTGCATGGCAAAGTTTTGCTTGTTGGGAGCTTGTGGGGGGCTTCTGTGAGAAACGGTTAGAAGCTTCCCCAGTGCCCAACAGAGTCAATGCCAGCTGGCTACAAGATGGAACGACCACTGGTGAAGGCCAAGTCCATCAGCAACAGTAGAAGTGTCTCTGTGATAACGTATCTAAAAAGGGGGAAACATTATTGCACAATGGCAACTGCAGCCAGAGACAGAAGTGAGAATATTTGAGAGAAAGAACTCTGCAGACACCAAGGTTGGTGAAGACTGAGTGGGAGGAGGTGCTGCAGGTGCCAGAGTAGAGATTTCCCTGCAGCCTTTGGTGAAGACCACAGTGAAGCAGGCTGTCTTCCTGCAGCCCACAGAGGAGCCCAT